GAACTACAGGCGTGCACTATCACGCCCAGCTAATTTTTTTTGATTTATTGTAGAGATGAGGTCTCACCAAGTTGCCCAGGCGGGTCTCGAACCCTCGGGCTCAGGCAATCCACTCACCTCAGCCTCCCAAGGCGCGGGATTACAGGCTGAGCCACCGAGCCCAGCTTCACTTTGTGTTTCTACCACTCACCCCCTACCCACCCCCATAGGCAGGGAACACATCTAATTTTCTTCATGCCTTCAGTGGATCTTTATCCAAAGGATCCGATCCCAGCCTACCCAGTTGCTAAGAGGTTGAGTCAGAAATTGGCCTTGTAGGGCTCTCATACAGAAGTAAAGTGCTTAAAAACCCTCACTTTGGCAGAGCTATTTACAGTCTGCAAAACAATTCTGATAAAGCTACTTTTTCCTGGGGCAAGAGTTGCAGAAAGGAAATGTTTTTAAACCCAGAAGCTATAGAGGAGCTTCCCAAACTAGAAAATCATCACACAGAGCCTCGAGGAGGGGACCAACTGCAAGCAAGCGTGATCCCCGCTCAACAGAGAAACTCCACCCCCAGTGCCCATCGAAGACTACAAATCCCAGCATGCCTCACGGTGACTGGCAGGCCGCAGGGCGTGCCGGGACACGTAGTCCCGTTCTAGCTCACAAAAACGCCTAGAACGTCCCGTGACATCAGAAGGGCTCCGAGAGGGAGTCGGAACCGGTCCAGGCTCGAGTCAAAATCTTCCTTCAGAGCGCTGGCCTTGGTTTCTCTGGTGGCCCGGTTTCTACGCTAAATAGGTCCCACCCTGCAGTCTAAGCAGTCCATGGTGTGCGCTGAATAGGCTAAAAGGAAGCACCAGAGGCAAGATTGTCAGGTTTCCACTCTAGAGGCACAGCTTGTTAGGTTAATGGTACGCGGGCGCTACCCTGAGCAAGGGCCGAGACGCTGCTTCCCGGCAGCACCGGCGAGGACGTGGCAGAACTGCCCCGGACAGACGCTTCCTCTTCCTCAGCCCGTAGGGTTGGAGGCGCGGGAGGCGCGGAGGCTGCTGGGAACGCGCATGCGCCCAAAGCGGCGGGGAGTACGCCTCCAACGTCCGCGGGCGCGGGGGGTGTCGGGTGGC